CTGTACTATTTTGAGAATCAGGGATGGAAAGGAGCTGATATTCATCCGGGGGAAAGCGCCAGATTTGAGAAGCTTAAGCCAAAAGACCTTCTGAGTGTGTTTTCCTGCTTCCATTCTGAACAGGAAAACATCTGTCATCTTGGCAAGCCCTGACTCCTGATGGCACCAGGGGGAACAGAACAGCTTTAGGTGACCTGCTGGACCCTGGAGCAGCTTTCAGTGTTCATTCCAGGCTGGATGAGCCTTGAGCAACCTGCTCTGGTGGGAGGTGTCCCTGCCCAGGGCAGGGGTTGGGGCTGGATCATCTCTAAGCTCCATCCCAACCCCTTAACATACTATGATACTGTGATATGTCCCCTCACCTTGCTGAATTAAACCACTAATAATCTGGGCAAACCCCGTCATGACGTGTGCTGCAATACAATTGCTGTGATTATATTTAAACTGTGATTCTCTTTAATAGTAATAAAATCCTATTTCTTTCCTATTGACAAAAAAATGAACAATATTCCTGATGTCACTTACAATGCCAATGAAAAAAAACAACAAACAACCCAAACAAACCAAACAAAATAAAACAACTGAACAGTTTTGTTATTGCTAAACATCATGATAATCTAACCTCAGTACCAGGCAACATACCTGCTAAGTGGGATAATAAATAATATTATAAGTTCAAACAAATAAGTATTTCGAGCTGAAACTGTTGTTTTAAATTACCAACATCCCTTTCTACATTGTTAACACTTATTACCAAGCTTCCAATTTGATGTCCAACCCCACTGCAGGCACTTCAGCCTGATTTCCAGCTGCTGGTTCATTTTGCTGCCCTACACCACAATGCTGAGCAGGAAGGAGGAGCTGGAGCTGCAAACAGAGCAGGCATTAAAAAACATGACCCTCCTCACAAGGACAATTGGATCTGCACTTCAGAGATAACAGCACGGGCATAATAAGGGGAATTGATCATTGGCTTCTAATAAGGAATTGCATACAGCCATGGCAGGGGTTTCTACAGACCCAAACTCAATCCTTTTCAATTTGCTTCGGCTTTTTCTTGAGAAGTTGATAAATGAGCAGTTTTTCCCCTGTCCTTTGTATTGGAAGATTAATTAGATACACTGCTGGTAGAACTGAAGGAATAAAAGGCTTAAGGTGCAGTTTCAGGGCCTTCCTGCAGTTATCTCCTGCTTTTCTGTTGCATTTGTGTTGTCTTACCACCTCCCAAAAAGGCTCAAGTATCTGGATAAATACACATATATACAGATAAGCACAAAGAGACAGAATGCTCAAGAGAGAAGAGAGAGAGCAAGTTATTTTTACTCCTATCCATTGGAACTCCCATAAATCAATACACAATTCCCTGCTAAACCATGCCTGCAAAAATCACTTCCAGACAAAACAGCACCAGAGGTGTGAATAAAGTCAGTCACCCATATCACTGAGGTGTGAGCTTCAAATCACCACTTTGCATTAAAACACTTAAACAGCAACATTACAAAGGCAATCTGCTTTAATACTCCACAGAGAATAATAGTGAAAGGAGAAAAAGCTCAGCACAGCTCCTGCTCCCTTAGCCAGTTCTTCTTAGGTCTGCTGTTCTCCATGTGCCATAGGCCCTGGTGCCTGCTCCAGTTCTGCACCCAGGTGGGATCAGCAGCCTTGTCAGAACAGTGACAGGTGACAAAAAAGTGTGTGTGTTTGCTCTGCATTGGAAAAAACACTGTTTTTAACCTGGGCCCTTTGCTCCTCTGACTGAAGGTGCTGTGAGCTGCCACCCCCTAACACTGCTGGGGCTGCAGGGGAGCCTGATTTCCTCCACGAGCCCTTCCAGGCTTCTCTTAGAGGAGCTTCAGTATTCCAGGTCTTTCCTGCCACTGGTGATGGTGAAAGATGATGTCAGGAGTCACTGCAGTCCCTGAGCCAGGTAAAACACAACAATCTCCCATGCAGGTCCCTGGATATCCATTCCATGTGTTCCCATCACCTTCACTGGGCACAGGTAACTTCCAAGGATCTCCCCACCTACCTGTCTGTCACATTTAATCCTGTGGCACTTCCAGAGCAGCAAATGGAACACACTGAGAACATCAATTCTGCTCCTTTTCCAAATGCACAGGACAGTCCTGGAGAAATGGGCACAACGCCCTGAAATCCCTTGAAAACAGATGATCCAGGAAATTTTCATATGGAGAAAATCTCCCAGTGAGACTTACTTTATCCTGTCCTACACCTCACCTGCCTGAAGAGTGTAAGAGCAGAGGGGTTAGGCTTCCTCTATTAAAATCAAAGGCCATTACAAGTCCTTTAGGACACACAACTCTCTACAAGAGGAATTGCATTACAAGATGCAAAAGGCAACTGAGGCAGATTTTGTGGCTATTGTCAGTTGTTTTCATAAAATAGCATCATTAAGCTATTTTTAAATCTAATTAAGCTTTCTTTAATCTAGAACAGACTCGTTCTTGATCCATCCATTTATCAACCTGGGCTGGCAGACACAGAAAAACTGCTGAAATCCCTTGTAACAACAGAAAACTTAGGAAAGAAAAAATATTCTTTCCCCAAAGCACGAGTGTAAAAAGTATTGGTAATTGTTCTGTGATTAGAAATCCAAGTTTCTTAGGCCACGTTATTTCACAGTATGAACTAGTTCAAAATTCAATACTCCCCAATGACCACCTGCTGGAAAATACTACAACTATTTCTAGTTCCACTGACTTTGCTCCCAGTGATTTCCTTCCTGGTAAATGATGGAAATCCAGCCCTGGTGAGCAGCCACCAAAGACAATCCAAGCTGTTCTGGAGGGAGATATTGATGCTAATCCTTTTTGTTTTCAAAATAGGATGGTAAAACCATTTCCAGTGCAGCACCTGAAGTCATGAGTCAAACTGAAAAGTTAGGAAAATAAGGAGAAAAAATACCAAGTAGTTTTGAATTTGCCTTCCTACAACTAGAACTAGCTCAGCTAGAGATGAAGGCAAAAAAAACAGCAGCAAGGAGAGGTGGATTTTTATTCCATGTTAAACTCCTGTTTTGTTCTGCAGTTATGTGGGAATAAAATGAAAAGGACCACTGGGAAAGATACAGTCAGGCTATGAAGCCTGGCCATGCCACAGCTCTGTTTTCAGGTTTTTGTGGCTCAGTAATTAGTTTAGGAACCTACAGAAAATCCTTCCTGGCACTTACTGTGTGATACTTGCTCTGAAAACATCTGGTGTTGAGTTTACAAATACTAACACAGGCCAGAAGCAGTGGAAAGACACACAGAGCCTCATTTATAAAGCACAAAAATCATGTTTAAGGGTCTGGTTTGTTTTGGTTTTTTAGTAGAACAAGTTTTGCTACATTCAACCAGACACACAACTCCTCTTCACATAACCTCTGCACTCCCTGGGACTCTTGCAGTGATGATTATCAAGACTGTAATTTTGAGCATGTCAACTCCTGCAATTATTAACACCTGTAAATGAACCTGTAAATAAACCCCATGATGATAACAGCTAACTATAGAACCATGGATTAGTTGAGGTGGCAGTGACCTCTGGAGAACATCTCATCTGAACCACCTCATGAAGGAAGGTGACCCAGAGCAGCTTGCTCAGGGCAATCTGTGTTCTGAGTAACTCCACAGATGGAGATTCCAGAACTGCCTTGGGCAACGTGATCCTGTCCCTCCTAAAGAGGACAAAAAGTGTTTATTGTCATCAGCTGAAAGGAACCCAAGAGACACAGTGAGGACTGTGAAAAGAGCAGCATGTGGCACACAGCACATTACATGGGAGAAGGGGAAAGGTAGGCACGAGAAAATGGACAAATACCTCTGCCAAAAAGTACCACAAGGACATGTGTTTTAACCTCCCATCAGAAAATACACACAGTGTAAACAACATAAAGATGATTCTCCTGGACTTGGTAAGTGCTTAAAGGACTCATTTTCAGTAACAGAGCAGAGGATTAAATACTAAACATCCAACTGCAGCCTTGTACTCCCAAATACTCTCTTATAGTAGTTGAAATCCAAGTCCAATTTTACCAAAACCTTTGCATGGATCTTCTTTTTTAATGACTGGAATAAACATCGGTATGGGGAGACCTATTCTTCCATAAGGTGAGTGTTTGAACCAGAAGGGGAAAAGCCCTTGCTTAATAAACAGTGAAATTAAGCAGCACAAGGGAAATTAATAAATACACAGAGAGAGAAAAAGAGGCAGGGTTAGAGGAATATTTTTCCTGCTGGGATCTCAGCCCACACCAAACATGCATTTCCCACCAGTGCTCACACTCCAAGAAATAACAGAGCCACTTTTCCTCCAAGATCAAATGTTTAACTAAGCAGATTCCAACCAAACAAAATCCCAGACAGCTTTCTGAACCTCTGCAGCCATTTTAAACAGATTTCCATCTTCACAAACTTACAGTCAGACTCCTCTAATGTGTCACTGCTCATAACAAGCCCAATACTTGTGGTCCAAATGTTCAGAGCAGCCTGACCTTGGACAGCACAGCCTTGGGTAGAATATACAAACAGATTGTGTCTTGGTAAGTTTGATACACAAACAAAACCAAATTTTACCCCAATCCACCTGTATTATTCAGCAGCACTGAGCAATAAATATCTTCTGAGCAAAACAAACAATATTTGAGCTTTGGTTGCATGATTATCATACAGTGATTTAGTGCCATCCCTGCTTGTAAAACAGTTAATGAATTAGCAACTTCTGAGAATTCAGTTTGTTGATAACACATCAGTTTTCCATCTCTAATTATTAGCCTGTACCCAAGGAGACAAAGAAGGCAAAGCTCAGAGCTTCACTTTCTTTAAACACAAAAGGTGTGCACAGAAATGTGTGCATCAGTATGCAAACACATACAAAAAGTAACAAACTAACGATTTGTTTGCTTTGCTTTCCATACATCATTGCCATTCTTAATGTTGCCTTTTGCTTTCCCTGCACAAACCCCTGGGTGGAGGAGAGGCAGTGAAGACCATCCTTACCTTAATGTTGCAAGCTTGTTCCATGAGTCTCCTGGCGTTCTCCTCAGCTCTGTACCTCTTGGGCAGCTGAACCCTGAAGAATTTTAAAGCTCCTTCAAAATCAGCTTGTAGAAGGTCCTCTTTGGAGGTCTGCAATGGAACACAGGGAGCTACAGTAAACCCTGGGAACACGCAGTCACACTTGTACTGGATTTGTCATTTACTGGATGTATTCCAAAGCACCAATATTCATATTAGCTTCAAATCCTTCTCCTAGAAATCAGCTCTCTAACCCTGCCTCATATAACAGCACAGAGGCTACAGCCCATCCCAGGAATCCCAGACAGGGCAAGACAAAGGATCCCAAATGGGAATGGATTTTATCCTTCTACACCAGCTGGGTAAGAAAGGCTCAGCCTGTCAAGATGTCAGTGAAAACAAAAATAAAACCCAAGCAAACAACAAAAACCTAGGAGAAATTATAGTAGTTTGTAGAGAGCTCATGCATTAGAGCATTGCTGATTCTCACTGCTGCCTTAGAGAATGTAGATATAAAATACATATATCATGGTCACCGACATGAAGAGCAGAAACAGAAATGCTTATGACTCATAGGAGGCATCAGCAAGTCAATGTGCCAATGTCTGTGACACAATTTCTCATAGAACACTGTGCCAGAAAATGTTTCACATGCTTCTTTCTCCCTCTCCCATTATCCTGCACCTCTCAGTGTGGTATCAAGCCTAACAGGTCAGAAAATGTTACACATTCAGCATTAAGCCAGTTCTGCCACTGACTGAGCAACGTGACTCGTAGGGACAAATGAATTCGTCCTGGGAGTTACTCAGGTCTGCACCAAGAGGTTCAGAGATTCAGCAGTGACTAAATCCCAAGCCTTGGGATAGTTCCTGCAAATGGCTCACAGAAACTGAATGTCCAGAGAATCAGAGAATTTTAGGGGTTGGAATGGAGCTTAGAGATGATCCAGCCCCAACCCCTGCCCTGGGCAGGGACACCTCCCAGCAGAGCAGGTTGCTCAAGGCTCATCCAACCTGGCTGTGAACACTGCCAGGGTTGGGGCAGCCACAGCCTCCCTGGGCAACCTGGGACAGTGTCTCACCACCACAACAGGGAAAACTTCTTCCCTAATGTCTGATCTAAATTTGCCCTCCTTCAATCTGAACCTGTTACCCCTTGTCCTGTCACTGCAACTCCTAACAGAGTCCCTCTCCAGCTCCCTTGAGAAGACATTTAGGATCTCAAAAATGTGCATTTCAATGTTTTTAACCCAGAAAGAGTAAAGAAAACTGTATCAATATTTGCTGTAGTATGGTGGAGACCAATGCTGTGTAATGCTCTATTACTGCAAACACCTCAAGAGCAGCACAGGCACCTCTGGTTCAGGTTAACTGCTGAATTACTTGCTCAGGTACCACCACCACCACTTGCATGTGTGCATCCTTTGCCATCTCAGAGTAACATCCATTCTGTGCCTATTTTTGCCTCATTTTATGCAGTAGGTATGTTACATACACATAGGTTCAAAGTTTGATTCTTAACTATGTTGTTATCCACTCAAAATCATAGAACCCCAGAATGGTGTGGGTTGGGAAGGGACCTTAAAGTTCATCTTGATGCATGGGCAGGGACACCTCCCACCAGCCCAGGCTGCTCCAAGCCCATCCAGCCTGGCCTGGAACACTCCTAGGGATGGAGCAGCCACAGCTTCTCTGGGAAACCTGTGTCTGTACCTCAGCACCCTCACAGGGAAGAATTTCTTCCTCATCCCTCATCCATCCCTGCCCTCTGGCAGTGGGAAGCCATTCCCTGTGTCCTGTCCCTCCATGCCCTTGTCCAAAGTCCCTCTCCAGCTCTCTTCCTTTCCTCAGAGCTCTCCCAAGATCTATCTGATCCTCCCTTCACTCCCAGCCAAGGCAGCTGCTGGCTCCTCCCTGCAGGGATGCAGGCAAACCTGCCTTCAGGAGCTGCTGAGAGATGTTCAGCTTTACAAACCATCACATCTGATCCTGTCCACGAAAATCTGGCAGGAGCAGCACTTGGCTGAGGCTCAATCAGACAAGACTGATGCAGTGTTGACAGAAAGACAGGGCAGTTGGTGTCCAATGATTCAGCCCCACTGTGGCCAAATCACACTCCTGAACCAGTTTCACTGAGGTCAGGAATGCTTTGGCCACACTTGAGGGTGTTTGCAAACCAGACTCCTGGACAGCTGCTTCCAGCACAAAGCAAACACTAATTTTTTGCCAAAGTTTGAGCATTTTGTTTTGCTTCCAGCACAAAGCAAACATTATTTTTTTGCCAAAGTTTGAGCATTTTGTTAGGATTTTTACATTCTAACAACTTCCTCTCTGACATCCAGTAACAAACTTCCATATGAATTTGAAGTATGGATTGTTCCTAGAGGTCCTGACTAGACATTGGTACTTCAACTTTGTATTTCATCTGTTTTTCTTAAATTAACATAATGCAGTAAGAGTTTTGGGATTTTTTTTTTTAATCAGAGGAGAAAAGAACTTAGAAAAACATAATAACCAACCACAAATTGACCTGCCAAACTTCAGAAACACAGATGCATTTACCCTTTATGTCCATAGCACTTCATTTAAAATAATAAAACAAAAAAACTCTAAGGGAAATATGTCAGAAAAACAGCAACTTTGTACAAAACATTTGAAGTCAGGTTGAATTCTCTTAGGCTTCTGATTGAATTCCTCATACAATAAATACTGTATGAGGAATTCAAGCAGAACTCCTCAACAAATTACTCTTATTAATTTTAAGTGCTGGCAATTTTGAGTTCTCAGTCCTGAAAAGTTTGTATTCTAACTGAGTCTAATTGAGTACTTAGTCTGTTTCCTGCTAACTAACCTCTCTAGGTGCTCTCTAAGAACACCAGAAACAACATCAAACCAATGTGAGGATACAGAGACATGCACAGGAGAGAATAAAATTTAAACACAGAAATTTTGGCAGCCAAAGATTCACATTTCTTGACATTTTGTGACTGTAATCAATAACTCATAAAGACATCTCCAGGCCCTTTTGTCAGCTGTTTGACAGGCAGAGATGTGTAAATCTGTTGGTTCATGTCACTCAGTTCATGGAACTCATCAACAACTGATTCCACTAAACCATCTGGTAAGGTTAATGAGCAAATAATTAACAATAACATTAATTATAACTCATTAGGCAGGTGCATTGCATTTCTGGCCACTTGGGGACTTCAGGATATTTTTTATTCTTATGGGTATAATTTTTAAAGAAACAAATTTTTGGTTAAAATCTATTTTTAAACCAGGCAAACAAGGAAACTCAGTGAGAACTATGACCAAAAGGCTCAGTTTGCCCTTCTAGGGTTTGACTAAATCTGTCCTCAAATGTCCTTTCCACATTGCTTAAGTGTTTCAATAGATTCATAAAATTCTCTTATATGGATGAGCTGAAACTAAGGGAAAGGCCTTTCCCACAAGTATTAGCAAAGCTTTCAAATCTAAAAGGAAAAGTCTGGAAAAAAACCCACCAATGTTCACAAAACAGGAAGAGAATCTGAGAGACAAATTATGCTAATTTTGTAAGAAGTAAATAATGTTACTACGACTTTCTCCCAAATATTTAGGAAACTGTGATTAAGACAAAGGGCAAAGCCTTGGCTTTTTTTTTTTCTCCCTTTAATTTAAATTCTCTGTCTTCAATTATTAATTCTGCAGCTTCATTTAATACTGACTATATCAACTAAAACTCCTATTCCCACCTGGGAACTAACACAACAGAAGAAATTCTGGACCAACCACACTAGACTTCCTTAATATAATTCTTCCTCCTTCCTACAAACAGATAAAAATCACTAATTTCCACAGGATTCCATGTGTATATTTAGATTTTCTGTAGAATGTCAGTGAGCATAAACTGCCTGGTTTACACTTTAATGAACATGTGTGGACAAGGCCAAGTTAAAGGCTGAACAGAATTTGGCTGTGCTCTGCTCCACTATTCAATTTGCTTTTTTGGAGATTCACAATGTTCCAAAGTATCCTCACAGCAATTTTTCAGAACATAATCTTTTTATATATAAAATCAAAGCATCTGTTTCTCTCTATTTCATGTCTATAACACACAGAGATGGTTTTAATGTCTTAAAAAGTATAAAATCAAGGCACAGGAGCTGTTTCTGAGCTGTTTCTCCTTGCCCTGGCAGCACCCAGACTGCAGTGCTGCTGGGCACGACTTGGCTCTGTGCTCAGCCACGAGCCACAGCCCTGACACTGCTCAGAGACTCCAGGAGGATGATCCTGACCTCCTCTGCTGGAGAAAGCTGAGCTCCAGCCTGGGAAAGTTCAGTGGCTAAAGCTACACTGCTACAGGACACAGCACACACTTCCAGGACAATACACCAAGTCACTCCTTTACCTCTTGAGCTCTTATCTTTACCTCTTGTGTCCAGCTACGTTATCAAACACATTTTGCCCTACATCAAATTCACACTCTCTGTAAAACACTGTTTGGCACCAAAGCCTCATGGAGAAGCAGCAGCTCCAGGTCTGTGTGTGCTGAGTTGGCATCTGTGAGCATGGCACTAATCCTGGGTACACCCAGCAGCATCCTCTGCCCAGCACCTCACCCCTGCCTGCATACACAGCTCCAGACTGAAAGGCAAAGTTCATCCTGCCACATCAAACACTGATCAATGTGGGGAAGAAAAACCTCCCAGGCTTCACCCACCCCTGGTCATCCCCCAGGGGATAAACCCCAGAACCAGTTCCACTCACCCATCAGTGCAATCAGCTGATGCAGTGAGGAAGTGAGTGGCATTTTTCTAAGCCTGGCAAAAAGGTGATATTTCTCACATAACACCACAGTAGCACATATTCTGCCCCCCCAGGCACTTATTCCCAGAAGCACAGCAGAGAGAGAAGCTTATGCACATTAAAAAATATATAATTCTTAATTTGATGAAACACTGAGGTTCTGAAGTATCTTCAGTTCTGATTCAAGTACAAATGTCTTGGTCCTCAGAGATTTATGATTAAAACCAAAAATCATCAGGAACACAGTCTCCCCTTTATGAGAAGGAGATATGTCAAAAGGGATGGATGTCAGGAGAGGTATATTCAGCTAATAAAACCTGACAGGGAATCGCCTTGACTCCACAAGTCTCTCTAAAAACACAAGCACTATTTGTATTATTTTGCCTTTTTCACCCTCTTTCTTTCTCTTTAAATAAACACTACTATGTCAGTCAGCAAAGCCAAGCAGCCTGGGAGATGAGGGATGCTAAATTTCCTGGTGTTCTCCATCTGGAGGGCCAGATACAAAGGCTGATTAAGTCAAGTGAAAAAGAGCTTAGTGGGTTTGTTTCTGCTTTCCTCAGAGCTCATCACAGCACAATTCAGAATGATTTGGCAGTCCTTGCCCAGGAGACCAGCAGCAGGATGGGAGATAGGCTGGCTGAGTGTGTTGGTACACTGGGAGCTAACTGGAATAAAGCTCACACACCCAACAGCTCAAACCACACGTCATTAGCCACTAGGCTCATCCTACAAGTGACTGTGGATCCCCCAATCCACCTGCACTTCACAGGCATCCAAGAGGCAGTGGCTTTTTGGTTTTTCTCTGCCATCTCCCAGTGCTGGACATGCTGCTCCAAGCACACACCTTGTTTGTAACCCTGCACAGCTTACAACACGCAGAGCACATGTATTTCTGGGTGCTGCAGAGCACTGAGGAGGGTTTCAGTCCTATGACCAAAATGCCAGACAGGTCACTGCATAGAACACAGGGGGCACAAGGAATGGAAATAAAGGCACCATCCCATGGGAAAATAGGACTGTCATGGATCACACAAAAATGCCATTCTGGTGTCCCAGGCCATGGACCAAGGGTCCCTCTGAGCTGCAGGCAGGTGTAGTTACAACATCCCCAAGGAGAATCACCAGGAGTAGGTACTGGCTCCTGGATTAGGCACAATTTTGTGGGTTTGAGGCTGCTCTGTACAGCAGGAGGAATGATAAAAGCATGTCCTCTGTGCCTAACATGCCCCACCGACTGCAGGCCACTCCACACACAGGCAGCATCTGCTGGGATGGATGAAAACACCCTCTACTATTTATTTCCCAGACCATTCCACACAGGTTATTTTCACCTTTCATACATACTGTCAACTGCCTGTTCAAAATCAAACACAGAAACAGCCTAAAGCATTAAAGACATCAAGACAGCTTGATTTCTGACGAAATGTTTCCAACTAACCTTTGATGTGACAAGCATAAAATGCGAAATGCTGAGCATTAATGCACTTTGCATCAGTCCCTAGAAGTCAACTGGGCATGCTGCTTATCTGGAATCGTTACAGAGCTGAGCACAAAAGCATTAGGCTTAAGGAAAGATGTCATTTCTAAGGCAATCCCTCCAGCTAGTTAAGGAGTGGCACTGGTCCCCATGAGCAGGACCAGCATCCAGCCCTCCTGAGCTAACTCAGTGCTGTCGAGACGGATGATGAGAAGCCAAGAAGAAAAAAAACCAAGCCCCCTCTCACACCCTCCATCCAGCGTGGAGACTCCTGGGGGCAGAGGCAGGGCTGGGAGGGAGGATGGCAAATCCCCAGGGAAGGAACAGCAAGTAAAGGTGATCTCACCGCGAGCAGCCGAGGCACGAAGAGGCGATGCCCCATGCCCAGCAGTTCCAGCACCCGACACGCATACTCATTGACCAGCTTGCTCCTCTCGTCGTGCATGTCCTGGGACTTCTTGGCAGGAGGGGTGAGCTTGGCAGCTGGGGTTTTGCAAGGCACCCCTTCTTCCATGAGCAGCAAGTAGTAAGGATCCAGAGTGAGCAGAACTGGGTTTTGTGAACAGCAATTTCCAAAAGGTTGGGAGAGCCAACCCCTAGGCTGGAACGGGTTGGGATTATAATCTGCTCTACACCAACGCCCCTCGGGGCTCTCAGGGAGAGAAAAACATCTTGGCTAAGAATCGAGGAAAAAGATGATCCACCGTGCTGGCTCGGTCAGAGTCCGCAGGAAATGGGCAAAACCCAGCAGAGACAACATGGATGTAAAAACTGCGGGCTGGAAAGCAGAGAGATGCGGGAAGATGCTGCGGGAAGATGCTGCGGGAAGATGCTCAGCGGCAGAGCTCGGCGAGCGGCGTTGGGGACCGCGGTGAGCAGAGTGCCATCGCCCTGCTCAGCATCAGCGAGGAAGGGGTGGGCACGGAGGGGGCTGGGAGAGGAGGAGGAGAGAATTCTCTCGGGGGAGAATGCCGTAATGCCAAGCCAATGGTGAGCGGGGGCAGAGGGGGCTCCCCCTCCCCATCACCCTCCCAAGCTGCTGGACCAGCTGGGAATCTTTCCCGTTTATTCGGCATCCTTATAGGGTTGAGCACAAAAGGTTTAGGAAAAGATGTCATTTGAAAGCAATCTTTCTAGCTACTTAAGGAGTGGTCACCTCATCAGCAGGACCAGTATCCTCCCTGAGCTAATTGGGTGCTTTGGGGATGGATGGAGAGAAGCTAAGAGGAAAAAAAAAAATAATAATAAAAATAAGAGCACTCTCACCCCCTCCAGCCAGTGTGGAGATTCCTGGGGGGAGGATGGAAAATCTCCAGGGAAATTGGTCCAGCAAGGAGAGTGAATTTGTGTGTTCATCTGCAGAGCAGCATCTCTGCCCCTCTCCCCGGCG